GCGTGGGTACAGCGGCCGGCAGCGCCGCGCCGGCACGGGTTGAAAGTGCCGCTTTTCCACTTTTTTTTTTTATTATTATTTATTTCAGCCACGGCTCTGAAGATGAACATGAACCTGCGGGAGCTGTACCTGGCCGATAACAAGCTCAACGGGCTGCAGGACTCGGCTCAGCTCGGCAACCTGCTGAAATTCAACTGCTACATCCAAATTCTCGACCTGAGGAACAACCACATCCTGGACTCGGGTGAGGCCCCTCGCGGCTCCTTCCGGCACAGCCCCGATTCCCGGTGGTTTTCACCCAATTTTAAGGAGGGGAGGAACTGGGCTGCGGGGCGGCGGAGCTCGGGGGCGGCCCTGAGCTGAGCCGGTGCAGAGGGATCGCGCGGTGCGGTTTCAACGTTGCCAAAAGGATTTCGGCGGGGTACGCTTCTGCGTTTTAAAGCTGAGATCGTTAGCGAAACCCCCATCGCTCCCGACGGCGGGGGACGCCTCGTGCCTCCCAGTCGCCTCTTCGGGCTCCCTCCATCTCCGCCTCCCATCTGGTTTTTCTCCTCTCCCGGAGCCAAACGAGCGGCCAAATCTAATATAAACTCAGGAATTGCGAAACCATCCCAACCCGGACTTCAGTCCCGGCTGGTTCTGCTTCGGCGATGCCGATTACTCAGCCCAGCGCCACGGTTTGGCGGAGGAGCTGCCTTTGTTGGGCACGAGCTATCCCGCCTGCCTTCGGGTTGGGTATAAAGGTAACCGAGCCGTGACGGTGCGGGATGTCACCGGCGCTGTTGTGGCCACCTCTGCTCCCGGATGGGTCCCACCCTCAACTGCAAATATTAATTTGCCGCCTTCCAGGTCAGCTGCCGCGTCCTTCGCATCTCTGGACGCTTAATAACGAGGGGCTGTCCGTGTTGGAAATGGCTCGTTGGGCGTTGCTGTGGGTTTCCGCAGCGGCGCCGGCGTCGGGGGTTCGCTCCGCGCTTATGGAATAAGCGTTTTCGCAGCTTTAAACTGTCTCCTGCCCTCAGCCCCGGCAGGATTAGGTGGGGACGGAGCTGCGAACGGCTCTGTAATTCGGGGTCTCTGCCTCCCTCCCGGCGGGTTTCGCACCCCGCTCCAAAGGCTAATTGATTTTATACGCCGAGAGGTTTAATTGCACACCGTTTGCGCACAGCGGAGCGATGCGCTTTGCCCAGGTTGACTCAAGAAGCGTTGGGGAAGAGTTTGGAGGGGAGAGAAGGG